TCAAATTATCAATTGTATTTGGGAATGAAAAATGAGAGAACTAGGTGCTAAAAAAACACATCCACCAAAGACAGGAATATTTACATGGGAATTGTCAGATAATTAATTGACATAGTTCCAGATCTTTCTTTTCTGGATTTGTATTATGCTTTACTTCCATAAAAAGCAGTGATCTTCTTTATCTTTCTATTGCCAAAGATTTAAACTTTAAAAGCCATGCCCTTCATAATTTGCAAGTTTAATTTATGTATAAAAGTGAAAATATAACGACTGCTTACGAGGCTAATTCAAATGAAATTAACAACAAGTAAAATAAATAGTGCCACAAACCTATCACATCACTGTCTGTAACCGACTAACACGGTAAGGAAAAGCATAGCAGATGAGCTACCTGAGAAAACTGTCCTGGCAGAACCACGATTATAAACCCGATTCCAGCCCATTTCGTTTAATCTACTTAAATATGTTTTTTATTATATATATAGTCAATCGTAACAGAGCTATGCGCTGTAATTCATGTTAAATATCATTCTTACTTTGTAATCCACATGTGAACTTGTCCATTGTGTGTCCTCCATTGCACTCTATGTAGCTTAGCTGGGCTAAGTCAACGCACTATGTACATTGAACCAACGACGTGACCCAGATTGTGATTTTCCGCCTACGGGGCGTGTCGCTACACGGTGCACATTTTAGTCCAAAAAAATATCGTTCACAGCACGAAAATTCCCGATCTATAAAGCCAAACCATTTTCTGAAAATAAGGTCACAAAAGCATTTTTTTCCAAGTTCGGTCGATTTTACGAAAAGTAGTTCACGAAGAACTTTTTAATGTTTGATTTGGTAACGTTGAACTGATATAGACAAGACGTATGCATCATGGAAAACGTTTCTAATCTTTGCACCATGAAAGGAATAATGAAAAAACTCTCCAAAATCAAACTGTCGTGAGAATTGATAAGGAGAAAGAATACACACAAGGGCAAACACACGTCCTCAACCTCCCCGAAATACTAAAGTACAGTGACCACAGGGGTCTAACTGAGAAGGCTTCAAAGAAAAAGGGTTTAACATAATCTGACTTCAACCACATTGGTCTGATGCTTAAATTTATCTCCCCCTTCTCACTTGAGTTCCTATAATGTAATGCATGTGTGTGGTTTTGTAAGTATGTCTATTCTATGATGATTCCATGTGCTTTGTTGACAATATGATCAAGGTGCAAGGTCATTAACATAAGTTAACATAAGAGTATGGGATAAAAGTACAGTCCGGTCTCTCTGTCACCAAGGTTTTACCATCAAAAGGGAGGGGCTGTCCAAATCAAAGCCACCAGGAGGGTGAGAAGCAGGAGGTCATGACATACTATCAAGAACAAGTACACAACCACGTCTGCGATCCTGTGTGTTTTTGTTTCCATTACAAAACAGCAGCAGTTATAAGGTATGAAAGCAGTCCACAATAGGGAAAATTTATCCCCTTTGTCCCCGAGATAGTCAGGATAAGGTGGCGGAGAGATGAGGAGGGAAGAGGAGGAGGGTGTGGGAGGAGGCGGATACGCTTGATATACAGCACTTCATAGAGACAAGGTACACATAGCAGTCTCAAAGCAGAGAGAGTTATTACATTAGCAATAACAGTAAAATAAAGTAAGACTTTTATAATAAAGTGCATTAATCAGGTAGCTGATAGCCAGGAATACATTCACCCCAGAAGGCCAACTATGTCCCCCCTCCTCTCTCTTTCTCTTTGCCTACCAGCGGGCCAGCGAAGAGAAAGAGTGAGTATTTGGGATGAAAGAGGACCATAAAACCCACCATCGTAAGAAAAGGTAGCCCTAAATTGATGACATCCATTAGATAGTGTGTAATACATCATAACATTACATGAAATACAAGATTGGAAATTTTCAATATTGTGTTTATAAGTAAGGAATAAGTAAAAGGAGGCCTGGACAACCAATTTATATATACCAGAGGGGAGAGTTTTATGCCCTAGACTCCTAGACATCCTCCCAGCCAATCAGAATAAACAAGTTTGCACCATAATGGGGGAAAAAAATGCATTGCAATATTTTCTCCCCCAACGATACAATATAGGAGCGATATTGTGACATATCAATTCAGGCTAAAGTCAAATAATTACCAATATCCGTGATATAAAAAATTGAATTAATAAAGCAAGCTCATTACAGTGCAAAAGTAAAACACTGTTGGCCATCATCATAATTGCCGTTGTTAAGTTGTTCATGAACAAATTGTCAGCGTTTCCCAAAAACTCCACAAGCAAAGTAACGTTACCTCTTTTTGGTGAACATCCACCTTTTTTTTGTAGCCAGTAAATGGTCCCAAACAGTTGTTCCCTAAGAGCTGCTCACCCTGTGTCAGCTGCTCTGCTGACATTCTCAGAGCACAATGATAAAATGTAGGCACATAAAATGTCTTCACCATCGTACGCATAACTTAATATTTAATATAGACCTAGTCTAATCAAAAGGAAATGTACACTACAAATGTGCTTTACAAGAACCGTTTTCAACGAATGGCAGTGAGTGACAGTGTCCAGGGCCCAATGATGAACGGTCTGTATTATGCTACGACTAATCATAGCATTGATAGTGCTGTATGTGCCCATCCCCGTACGTGCCGAGCAGGTTAGGCTACAGCTAACAACAACACAGCGGAGGTTATCCGCCGTTGATAGATGTTATAATAAACATAAGGTTATAGACAACAACCCACACACAAAGCTTAAAGTTTAAAGATAACGAAGTGTGTGAGTGGTGTGTGTAGTGTGTGTGTGTGTGTGTTGTGGCGACAGCGAGCACCAGTGTTGCTCGCATTGGTCCTGCAGTTTTCTCTGGTGGCTTGTGAATATTGTTCAGCCCCTAGAATCAACCATCCCATTTTAGAAATGAAGTGATATAGAACAATTAAATTTTGTTTCTTTTCTCTGTCTCAGTTTTCCGTAGACACCAGATCTGCTGAAGGTTAGAAACAGCCTGGACGAACAGATTTGGGGAGAAAAGAAAATTCACCCAATGAAAAGACAAATTGCAGGAGTTGAGGAATGAACTCCAAACTCTTAAAAAAGGAAAATGAACGTCTGAAGACAAATATCATCAATCGTAGTGTTTCTTTTCTAATTTTATTTAATAATAGCAGGGTTTTTTCGAGGAAGATAGTGATTTTTTCGTAGGCAGGAGGAATTATAAACTTAGAAATTTTTATATAGGGCTGGCAGCACACATGTTTGTGAAAAATAAATGCTATGTTGTTAAGCTGGTGGAGGTAGTGAGCATAGTCTCACATAGCCACTCATCAAGATTTCAAATTAGAGATTAAAGCTGCAAGCAGCGATGGACGGGCCCTCGCACGGTCAGTGCTGGGTGCTATTTGATTTTGAGGATTGACATATATTCATTGTATAACTTTCATTCTAATATCACCTCAAATTCAAGTGACCTGTCCATTATTGCTCAAAAGGTAATTTCTTCTGATTGTCATTGATTTTTTTACAAAATTGTTTCTTCTCTCAGGCAGAGCTGTTAGAGAATTGTGATGTTGAGACTAATTTAAAGTGTTAATTATTATCATGTATTTGCACTTAATGTATGTGAAGTTACTAAACTTTTATTTTTCTTTTATGGACAAGACTGGAAGGACCTCCTGTGGAAGATCTTGATTCTCCTTGAGACTTTTGTGCAAGAACCGTGGGTAAACCCCCACGATTTTTATTGTATTTATTTAGTGGTACAGGTTACTATAAACAACTGGTATGGATTTTGATTATTTTTCGCTGATTTAACTTTTCTTTCTGCATGTCACTTTAATTTATTGGACATGTTTAGATGTTTCCAAGCCGTAAATATGATCTAGTTGGCTTCCTTTGGATAATAACAAAATGTGTTGTAGAGTTTTATACTACCAGTAATTTTCCCGGACTATAAGTCGCTCCGGGTGTACAAGTTGCACCAGCCATTAAAATGCCGTAATAAAGGAATAAAAAAAAAACATATATAAGTCACACTGGAGTATAAGTCTCATTTTTTTGTTGTTGCAGTTCGGTCTGGCGTGAGCATATAGTGAAATAACAGGCGCTCCGCTCCACTCTTCCTAACCTCCAAACCCCCCTCCTCACGACGCACACGATCGTCCGCACGCAAACCAAGTCTTCTTCCACCCGCTACGTGGGAGTTGTTTGGTTTGAAAATAACAGGTGTAAATGATAACCGGTAAAAATGTTGTAATAATTTCACACAACAAGATCGCTCCAGAGTAATAATGTCGCACCCCCTGCCCAAACAATGTAAAAAAACTGCAACTTATAGTCCTGCAATACAGTATTTTTCCTTTCTTCTCTAAGAATTCGAATCCAGAAAGGAGATAGAGCACAGAGGAAGACCGAGCCCTTTAAAAAGAGTCACATGTGACTGTGAGGCTCGTTGGAGAGGACATCCCAATGTGTGGGTAACCCATTTATACCTCAGGTTTGTTCTGTACTTAATTCACTTAAGGCTCCTACTGAGCTATAAGGATTTTTATGTTGGGTATAGTTATAGTAATATATAATTTTTACTTGCCCCACATGCATAAAGTTGTTGAAGTTTTACAATTGTTGAATTTAACAATGTTTTTCTTCTCAAACAAGACTGCATCAAGAGCTGAGACCTCAGCAAAAACACAGGTGAATAACATATTATGTAGTAATACATATTATGTGCTTTGTAGTAGCCAATTAGTGTTATAAGTTTAGGGCAATGATTATTTTGATTCATATCTTTATCATTAATCTGCATTTATAAAACCTATTTACTATTGGGAAACTAAGCATAAGAATCAATATGAAACATCAAAAGGTTTCTAAAAGTTGCCAATAAATGAATATTGTGATTTGAAATTATTTTTTTTAGATTGAAGTTATAAAGGGCTCTGGAGTGTTTTGTCGGGCAGAAGCATGGAAAGCAGCCCGCCTTGCCACCTCTGCTACTGCCATGGTTTCGGAATCTGCTGCTGGGCACCTTTGACCTGGAGACTTTGCTGAAAAGCAACCTAAATGGTACAAAATAAAATGTTCCTAATCTCTTCTGTCTTGGAAAAAAAGTTAGTCATAGTCTGTGGAATAAATTATGACTGTTATGTTTAGTACCTCAAGAAAACGTGATGTGTATATTAAAAAACAAAAACTCTTACTTTCTCCACCTTCATTTTGAAATATTATTTTAAGGTGGGAAGCCAACCAGAGGGGATGGGGAGCAGCTGGTCGCCCTTGACCAAATTAAAAAGGCAGCCATTATTGGTGAGTAAATGCATAATGCGTTGACAAGGGAAAACAAAACTTTAAAGACTTTATTTCACCACTTTAACCATAGCATACGTGTATCAATGTTTATTAGGCATCAACATAGACTGTATAAGGTAAGGCACCCATTATTTTTACTGTACCTGCTTAGCACCTATAATACTAATTCATCGTTTGCTCACTTCTTGATCCTACCTTTTGTCTTCTTAAGCCACATTTCTGGGGTATTGCACTGTAAGGTGTGTTGTCCTCTATTTTGTAGGACATATAGTGTTGCAAATAACTCCATTGCATGTTGTCGTCTGAAGGGTTAATAAAAAATCATATTCACCCCTCCTTCACCCTTAAACCATTCTGTCCTGTGTTTGTGCCTTAGTTTGTCTTTATCGGTAATGGATTTGCTTGATTTTAATGCGTGCCTTATTTCTCTTTGAGTAAACCTATCATGGCAGCTCGCCAGTGGAGTGGGTCAATGGGAGGCCATTGTAAAGTATTTTGGGTACGGTTGGGTGCAGGAAAAATTCTACAAAAGTGCAGTTTTGACAACGATATATGTTTACATGTGTAAAGTTTCTTACATCAGATTAAAAATTTGAGGGATTAGAAACTCTGAATCACTTTACATGTTAACAAATAATCCAAAGTGCATATGCATCAAGCCTTATTCAGAATAATAGCATGTGATGTTTCCAATCAGAATTCATTTTAGATTTAGAGTCCAATCAGAATCTTTCAATTGACAATTTTACATGACATATTTTTTATCATGGTGAGCCCTTTATCCAAAATATGTGTCCAATTGCAGCAAGCAGTAAGCACTTTGGGTTCCTGATGAAGTGGTATTTTAATAATATATTTTGGTCTTCTCTAGATGCTACATTGAAGAAGTGGCCTGCAGTCAGCCGAGGGCAGCTAGGCACATCTATTAATTCAAAGCTCACAGAGCTGAGAAGATCTACAAGATAATTTCTTGGGGGGTATTTCTGTAAATTTTTTTGTTCTTGTACTTTGATTGTTCTTAAGTAATAAATAATGTTAAATTTCTGCATTTTGGGCTATTATTTATGTTGCCTAGTAGCTATGGATTTTTATAATTTTGCTAATACATAGGTAAACAAGTGCATATATGTGTGGATTGATATAGGTAAACGTATCAGCGGATATAGCTACATGTATGCAGATGATCTTCACATATAGGTACATGTATGCACGGATATAGGTACACACATATATGTACATATATTTACATATAATATAGGAAAACGGCCAATTTTATATATGTACATATATGTGCTATTTCATATATGCACATATATGTACATATATGTGCTATTTCATATATGCACATATATGTACATATAATATAGGAAAACGGCCAATTTTATATATGTCACATATATTTAAAACCTATATCAAAACCTATATTAAAACATATATGTTTATATAGGTTCTTTCCATGTGGGAGATTACTGAGGTGAAATGGAATCTGCTACGGCACTCTTGTCGGTATCGTGTGTGTGTGTGTGTGTGTGGGTGGGTGTGTCTGTGTGTGGGTGAGTGGGTGTGTGTGTGTTCTCATTTTTGTTAAGAGGCTGAAAAGTAACTTTCTAGAGCATAGACTACCTTCATCTAGTGATGTCGGTCTATTGATTTTGATGTATTGATTGAAAATTGTTCATTATTATCTTGGTTAATTAACATCTAATGTTAACTCTACTAAATTTTATAGCAGTAGGGTAAAATGCTTGTCTTTGTTCAAAAGACTGTATTAACTGTAAAGACTGTCTTTTACATCAGCCTGTTTTCAGGGCCTTTTTTTTGGCTACATATTTGTTATTTTTTGCTACATGCCTCCCCATCTTCTTGCCATATGTTTCTATGGCATAAATCAGTATCTGTGACCTGTTTTCATTTTAAAAAAAGAACATTGGCACAAACCTAGCCTGTATGTATTTTTTTGTATGTCATCGAGAGTATTTAAATGATTTTCAATCAGGAAAAAAAATGTGCGATTAAAATGCGATTAATCGCGAGTTAACTCAGGCATTGATGCGATTAATCGCGATTAAAAAATTTAATCGATTGACAGCACTAATATATATATATATATATATATATATATATATATATATATATATATATATATATATTTATAAACTAAACTTATCAACATCATCATAAGAAGAATAAGTTCAATTCTGGTTTTCAGGCACTTTTTTTATTATTGCAGAGATTAAAAAAAGGCAAATTTGTTGTTGGGTAATTAGTGGAATAAGGTCCATCTATATCCATTGGCAGCAGCTGACAGCTGGAAGCTGTTAGGCATGTGAAAATGGATTTCTTCTTACTGTGAGACTAATTATGGACATACTAGCTTAGTGGGAAACCTCTGGTTTGGGTGTAGAACCCACCCCACAGCGTTTGCATAACTAATAGACACATCAGCAACAGGTCATCCCAGATCATGGCTGAGATCCAAGCAGAGCGAGAACTTTAACATTAAACAAGTTTTTTTTTTTTACAAGGTTTGCAGTACCTTGTATAAATATTTCTAAACCTTGAACTTGTTTTCATTACTGTATGTCATGCTACTGAAAAAGATCAAACTTAGGTTTTTATTATGGGGGAATTAAATGCAACAGACCTTAAGTAAATATTTGTATTTTTAAATGTTCTTAAATAAAGAGTTGTAAAATATTATGTTAATATGTATCTTTCCCTTCAGAGTAAATACTTATATATACAGTATATAATTCCACAGCTGTAGGTCTTTTGGGATATATCTTCATGAGCTTTGCACATCTAAAGACTGATATTGTTGACTATCATTCATTCCATAACAGCTCAATATCAGCCAAAATGGATAGAGAGCATCTCTGCACATGAATATTATATTGATTCAAATATTAGTGGTTCAAATTAGATCTGAGCTTTGACTAGACCAGGGGTGTCAAACTGGTTCCAGAAAGGGCCGTAGCACCAGACTCCATTCATCTCATCAAGTCATCATGTTCAGATTGGACTCACTTGATTAGATGAATGGAGTCTGGTGTGCTATTGCTTGGTTGGAAAGAAAACCTGCAGCCACATGGCCCTTTCTGGAACCAGTCTGACACCCCTGGACTAGACCATTTCAAAAATGAGTATGCTTGAATGTGAACCCCTGTAGCTCATAATCAGAATGCCCTTATCATTATTATATGCAGTATCTACGAGTGTGAGGAGAGAGAAAAAAAATCTATGAAAGATATACAATGTAAAATGTTAACATATTGACATTAGTGCAAACAGTACATTCTTGAGAAATAAACATGGTTTATATACAGGCAAAGACTAATGCAAATAGATGTATAATGTATATAAATGTATATTATCCACCAGTGATTGGAATATTATCCTTGATTTTGGGATTGGACAGGGAAACAATCAGTGTACGTAACAGTTTAGAATTGTTACAGCTTTTGGAAAAACAGCTGTTCTTTAGTCTGTTTGCCCTTCCACCAAATGTTCCCATAATGCCTCTTTGGTACGTTTAAGGCCAACCTTCAGCCTACATTTGGGCATTGTTGCATTTTTGTCAATTTGGTCAAATCTTTACTCAAGTATAACTAATTTCTAAACTCTTGCTATGCAAATGTCTTTATCCTCTGGCAGTTGAACCTCTGACCTAGTAACAAGTCCTTTGAAGCCCCCTAAACAGTTTTTTTTTGTTTTTAGCATACCCGTTTATTCAGCTTAGTCTTTCCATCAATACCTACTTAACCTAGCAGATCTAAAGCTAGGTCAGTATCATGCCACCATTACTCTTTCACCAGATCAACTTCTTCCATGCATTTTTCTGTCTCTGTTGCTCCTCCATAGAAAATATAGAACTTGATGGCTTTTCTGATACTGATTTATGTCCTGCTTAATTTAAGGGGAAAACATACACTATTTAAATTCTCTTTTTTAAATTCCTTTATTTAACACTTTCATTTTGAGAGACAGTGGCTGTGTCCAAACATCTGCCATGACCCCTATGTAGATTAGTATAAAGGGGTCTTGCCATTTTATTTGTGTCCTAATGTTTAGTGCAGGGGTCGCCAACACAGTGCCCTTGGGCACCAAGGGGCCATCAAGGTCCGCATGAGGGGCTGTCTGCGTCTTCTGAAAATAGAACAACTCACCAGTGGGATATGTTTGAAATATTATTTTATTGTGTTGATCTTTTTTTACCGTATTTTCACGACTATAAGGCGCACATAAACGTCTTTTTTTTCCCCTCAAAATGTGCGGTGCGCCCTATGGTGCGGTGCGCCCTATGTGTGTTGCAACTGCGACTTTTGAGACCACCTCATTGAGGAGATGATGAAAGAGTGGCTGAATGTAAGGAGACCAGGTGTTTTTTTTTCCACTCATCACCACACCATCGCTGTTAATCTGACTCCATGCGTGCCCATCTCACAGCTGATGTGAAAAACATGGTGAAACAAATTAATGCTGTGCTCGCTGTGAACCGGACGCAGCAGGTGCAGCAGAAGCAGCGAGTTTACATGCAAAGTCAATGGTTGACGAGCGTATAGACGCAGCAAAAGGTCCCCCAGCGCGTTTTGAGCGAGTCGGGAGCGCACCGCCAACGCGCTGCTGCTGCTCGAGATGGAAAAAATTGAAGTTTTGCTGCTGGAAGCGCCGCATCAACGAATCAGAGAAGCTGATCTGGGAGCTGACAGCGAGACAGACACATCGCTCTGATGACATATGATATTAACGCAAATGAAAGGGCTGGATGGATGAGGAGATGATGAAAGCGTGGCTGAGGGAGGTGTAGGCTATGTGAGGAGACCAGGTGTTTTTTTTCCACGCATCACCATCGCTTTTAATATGTGACTCCATGCTTGCCCATCTCACAGCTGATGTGAAAAACATGGTGAAAAAAAATAAACGCTGTGCTCGCCGTTATCTCGGGGGTCTGACAAAGGAACTTCAACCGCTCGACATCGGTGTGAAGCGGCCGTTCAAAGTAAGGCTGCGAGCGGCGTGGGAGTGATGGATGGCAGACAGAGACCGCAGTTTCAGGATAAGTGGAAGGCAGCGCCGGGCAAGTTACGCCACCGTTAGCGGATGGATTGTAGATGCTTGGACTAGTGTCTGCTGGCTCTGTTGTTCAAGCTTTCGCAAAAGCCGGCATTATTTCTGAGGAGCCGCCCGGCACTGAAAGTGACTCTGACAGCAAAGAAGGGGAAATTGGCATGTCTGATTTAGCGCAGCTGTTTAATTCAGAAACAGAGGATGATGACTTTGATGGGTTTGATTAATACTTTGTAATAAATACATTAATAAAGCACAATCATACTCAGTTTTGCTCCCGCTCTATTTTTCTACCTGAAAACTTAATTCAACAGCAGCCTCTGGGCGGGTCTCCTCGGCGTATACCGCGGTGGCTGGCAGGTGTTTTTTCGTCTAAATAATCTAAATCTTGCAGCTATATTTGCTGCGATCAGTGGGAACAAAGTAGTTTTAATATGTTTTTAAGTGAGAAAGTCCACCTGAAAACTTAATAATTGCAGTCAGTTCATCCAGATTATCTATTTCTGTCGGAGGCGCTCAGACCCCCACATACCAGCGGTGCACCGACAGCAGAAATCCCTTCATCAGCAGCCTCTAGGCTGGGCAGCCTCCAGGTTCACCGGCGGCTGGCAGGTGTTTTTCATCTAAATAATTTTAGCTGCAGGCACCAGGATACCGGTAATAAAAGCGAACAAATTCCGTCGGCAGGTTTCAGGATTTTAAGTTAATTTAAGAGTGATCACAGCGCACTGTCATCTGCGATGTGTCTGTCTCACGGCCAGCACCCAGGTTTGATTAATAGTTTGTAATAAATACATGAATAAAGCACAGTCATACTCAGTTTTGCCCCCGCTGTATTTTTAAATACGCAGTAGAGGTATTTAAAGGTAGTAGAGGACATGTACCTGTATATAAAAAACGTGCCCTATAGTCCGGTGCGCCTTATGTGTGTGTTAAATACAGAAATGGGACACATAACTGAGACTGCGCCTTTTAGTACGGTGCGCCTTATGGTCGTGAAAATACGGTATCTTATAGAGCATTTCATCAAATTAAACATAAACATTAAACATATTAAACATTTATACACATTTCTAGATGACTATCCCAAAAAAAAAATTAGAAATTAAAACAGAATAATGGGTTTATTATGTGTGAAGTTTAGGTGAACACAGTTGATAGGTCAGTATTGGTAGCCCTTCCTATGACTCAGGCTGTGTCCGACTGTCCACCCTAAAAACTATATAGGGCCCTATATAGTGGTTACACCATTTGAAATGAGTGTCCGAACGTCTGTTGGATAAAAAAGTAGTGGACTCAAAGTTTCCCACAATGCACCTTGAAAAGTATTGTTCACCCATGGTGACTAGACAAGCAGAAATATCCCAGAATGCCTTGTGAGGTCCACTCTCAAGCATTATGGGATTTGTTGTCACAGCAGTGGGTTGCTGCCATAGGCGACAATGCCAAAGATGGCGCAGGCACTGTTTGGGGGAAGCTGAGTCATGTGACCAACAGGAGTGAAAAGTAGTGATCATCTGTTCGAACGGTCAGTTAACTATAAAGTCTACTATATAGTCCCTGTTCTCTACAGTGATTGATTGATCTATGGGTTAGGGCAGACATTCGGACACAGCCTCAGTATCTATGAAGTACCTTTAAGCTCTGAACAGATGGGTGACCCCTGATCTAGTGGATGAAAAAGTAGCGTACTCAAAATTTCCTCCAATGCAGCTTGAAAAGTAGTGTAAATCAATGGTGACTAGAGGACCAGATTTATCCAAGACTTCTTTGCAGGAGCTCTTCCCCAAAAACATCATGGGAATTGAAAGAGAACAAAGATGGCCCAGGCACCGTATGGAGAGCCAGAGTCACATGACCAACAGGGAATGAAAAGCAGTGATCATATCTCCAAAAGTTTAGTAAACTGAGTTCACTATGAATATATAGTCTATTCTCTTTATAGTGATGGAGGGGGTTAGGGGTTAAGGTTGAGGTTCACACACAGCCTCTGAGTGTATAATTGTGAGAAATTAACACCTCACAGTGTGTGGAATGATATACACCAATGTATGTTATGCAGAGTAAATTATCTAATCATTCTTTATTTAGATGCAGTTATAAGAACAAATGCACACTGTGTTAAAATAGCACCAGATTTTTAGGAGTTTGCCTTGAGTTCTGCTGCTTGTGTCAGGAGAAATCCATCACCATTGGAACATTATTAATGTTTTTTAAAGTCTTTTCAGATGAAAAGGTTGTGTCCTCCTGGCTGTGTCCCCTACAAAATGAAAAGGGTCTCTCCGAAATTGAAGCTACATTGGATGTTGAAAGGCAGCCCACACTTTCAATGTTTTGGTCAGTTTTGATGTTGCACATTTTTCTTTTTATACAGACATTTTGAAATGAATTGTTCATTTAAGCTGCAGATGTATTCAGGTTTGTCCTTCACGGCTTAAGAAAGCTTTCTTTTTTTTTCCAAGGCTGATTTTTGCTGATCACACCTGGGCCTGATTCACCTATTCACCCAAATAAAGATAGCCCCTTTTTTTTCAAACTCAAAAACCTTCCTCTTTCTCAATTTTTTTTTATCATTGATCACATTTTCTGTTGCACTGGCCTTGGGATGAGAAAAGAGAGAAAAATTGAAATTGCAGCCCACTGCTTCTTAATAAAAAAAAAAAAAAAAAAGGACCACACCATCATTATCAACGAATCATTTAAAGGAATGCAGCACTAAAAGAAACAATTTCATGGTGGTTTGAGAATTAACGGTACTTAATAAGAGCAAGTATGATTGCAATTTTTTGTCTGATTAATTCAGTTGTGCTAATTACTATTTTTTAAACATCATTGAAAAACGGTAATTATTTTTAATTTAATGTTGAGTCATTTTTTTTAGCTTGCAGGGAGAAAAACTTGCTAAATCTCAAGCAATGTGACACCAGTAAAGCAGAATGCCGTCCCCACCATTAGACACGTTCACATTGTGCAGCACCAACAGTATCTCTTTAGCTAGAAGTCATCCATAATGCTTTTCATATCTGCAGAACATTTAAATTTATAGGGAAGAAAATACAACAGTGAGAAAAAGAGTATGTCTTAATATATAGTCAGGGAGAAAACATTTGTTTTCCTTTTTTCCAGAGGGGAAAAATGAAAAAAAAAAAAAAACCAGATATTTTCCCAAGACACAAAATAACTATTTTTCTTCATACTGTAAAAAGGCAATTAATTGGCCGCCTCTAAAAATTAAGTGTCAGAGGTGTTCCTGTTCTCTGTTTTTACAAATCAATTTTGTGAACTGTTCTAATCACCTCATGTGGGCTTGAAAGCATAACTCAAAGCTGTCAGCTATAATATGTCCTCATGGGAGCAATCAAGAACAAATATATGCCTCAAATTAAACTCCTTTTACACATGCAGATACTCTTTGGTTGTGATTTGGAGACTGATTGACTGACAATTTAAACCTAGTTAATTTACCAGCATGAATGTAATGAACAGCCTTATTCCCGTTTGCCCCATTTCTTCCTGCAGCTCAACATGGAAAACATTCATTATCAAAAAAAAAAAAACCTTCCTTGGACAAAGGGAAGAAAATTCTGAAAAATTACCATGTTAAAACATGTACAAAGGAAAATTTCAAAACTAATCTTCCACTATTAAATTATGGTTATTTCACTCCTTGACCACCAATTTTTACATTTTTGTTGTATTGTCCCCGTGGTTTGAAATCTGGGACGAAACACTGGTACCATTGCAGGGATGGAGTGGCCATTATATTAAAAGTAAAACTAACCAGATTAAACTAAAAGCTCTTGATCCCAATAGGAACCATTGGGAACATAGCCAAGAATAAACATTCATGTCGAAATAAAATCGGACTGGCAGAGATGTTCCTGACTTTTATACACACTAGAAATCTATTTGGGTTGCACCAGAATTTCTTGGGTAAAAAGAAGTTAGGGTGGCCATTATGTGTAGAAAATTGGGATCAAACTTTAATATCCAAGTTTTTTAATCAGTGAGTTATATAATGAGAGTGTTATTTACACAGACATAGTGTTTTTACTCTAATTTTACTATATGCCTAATTTAGAAAGTTTTTTTCTCAATTAGTCCACCATTCAAGCCCACAAAACAGGCTTGAATGAGAGGCAAACAGACTTTCTCAGTTTTTCTGAAGTAGTTTAACACCTACCCAGGAGTGTTTGTCAATTCTGTCGCCTTGACTAGAGTAATCTGTAGTTGGAGCGCTGATGTTTTTAAACAGCATTCAGATCCATCCTCCTTAGCACATTCCTAGTAAGATGCAAATCAAATACCCACCTGTCGTTTTCCTTGGTTGTTGAAGCTTTTTGTTTTGGGTTTGGGTTATGTGTTTGGCCATCTGAATCCTGATGAGAGCGTTTACGTAATTTGAAATGAGTTCCAGAACCGAATTGTACAGTAGATGTTTGGAAGAAACTGCAAAACTTCCACTCTGTTCACTGGTGGCTTTTTTTCTTTTAACCAATGGGCTTATACCATCAATGCTTTAGTGGCAGATTGATCTATTTCCAACAGAATTGAAAAAGATTGAATAGGTGTTGAAAAAGACCCAGATGATTGAGAGCCTATAGGGGCAAATCCACTAATCAAGATAATTTTTTTATCATCATATTTGGTTATAAAAAACTATACTTCAGTTGCTTGTAGAATATTTTGACCACCTTGTTCTTTGCTACACCCCATTTAAATGTCGATTTATTGCTGTTACCACTACCCTTAAATTTTTACTTCTATAAATAAAATAAATACCTGATTAAATTAAATAATATTTCAAATCCATTTTTTTTACTGTTAACAAATAATGATCCAAATGTAAGCCTATTTGAAAACAAATCTTTTTACCTTTAAGCTTTGAACAGCAATGGTAGCATATCAACATGTTTGCAGTCAGGCTTGTTCTCTTATGGGTGAATTTTCCAAGCATAAATATTAAAGTCATAAACAGTAACAAATTTACCTGTTATCTAGTTTCACATTAATCTCACATATTATCTCAGTGACAAGCAAAAAACTGAAATAAACTGACCTAGATGAATATATTATGAGATTAGATTTTGAAACACCTAGCCGGTGCAGCTTGAACACATCGTCAGTGAAGGACCCAGGGTCATAGGGTGTTTCGGGTCTTTGATCTTCAGACACCCTCGTCTGGGCGACCCAACCAGGGTTGATCAGGCCCCAGTTTGTGTTCAAGCAGCGCGCTACTCCATGCGTCTCCCCTCTTGATCCACAGCCACCTTGAGGCTTTCTCAGCGGCCTCACTGATGTTTCTGGTGGCTCTTCTCTCAAGCAACCCTCTGATGCCAAGGAGCCTGAATGCCCGATGCACAGTCTGACTTAGGAAGCCTCTGCAGCCCACTTCTATTGGCTCACAGCGGGCCCTCCATCCACGGCATCTGCATGCCTCAATCAGCTCAAGATACTTCGCCCTCTTCCTTTCATGAGCCTCCTCCATCCTGTCTTCCCAGGGGACTGTAAGCTCCAGTAACACAACTTGCTTCGTTGAGTCAGATGTTAAGACCAGATCTGGTCTCAGTAACGTCCTTACAATGTGCTCTGGGAACTTTAGCTGCCTTCCAATGTCCACATGCAACTGCCAATCCCGAGCCACGGCTAGCAGTCCAGATGTGCCCCTACCTGCTCTCTCAGGTTTCTCCCCTGCCCTGACAAAGAAGGTATTGTGCCTCAAAGGGGACTGGTGCTTTGACTCCAGGATTCCAGTGCAGATGGTGTCTGCTACTGCCTTCAACACCTGGTTATGGCGCCACGTGTACCTTCCCTCTCCCAGTGCTTTAGGGCAGCACCTCAGGATGTGCTCCAGGGAACCATGAGCCGGGCACAGTGGGCATGTTGGTGCTTCTGCAAGGCCCCAGGTATAAAGGTTAGATGGACTTGGAAGGACATCATACACTGACTGGATCAGGAACTTAAGTCTTGCTGGTTCATACTGCCATAGTTCTGTCCAGGTGATCTTCCGGGCGCAAGCATGGTTCCAATTGGTCCAGGCTCCTTGCTGGCGCATTGCCACCATCCTACTTTGGCGTTCCTCCTCCACCTCTGCACAAATCTCTCCCTGTATCATCTGTCGACGCACTTGTCCTCGGGCTTGGTCATAGCGCAGCTTTGTAAGGCTACCTAGACCGGCTCGTCCCACCGCCACAGAGCCAACTATGACACTATGTCTCAGTCTTGCTTCTGCTTGGTTGACTGCCTGTTGTGCTCGCCATTTCCTCCCAGTTCTGACTGTGATGCTGGCAGAAGAGACTCTGGTGTCAGCAGAGTCTCTGTAAAGCAACACCTCCCTGGCTCTGGTGACTTTAAACTCCTCCGTCACGCCAGTCAAAGGAAGCTGCAGCTTGTTGGAGTGCCCATAGAGGGCAATGGTGCTGAGACTCTTTGGCAGACCCAGCCATCTGCGTAGGTATTGGCTGACATTGCGTTCAAAGCCCTCCACCATGGTTACTGGAACTTCATAAATCAGTAACGGCCACAGGAGTCTTGGCAGGATTCCGTGCTGGTATATCCATGCCTTAAACTTCCCCGGGAGACCAGACTTGTCCACTGCTGCTAGCAATGCCTTTAGCTTTAGCTGGGCTGCCTCCACTGCTGCTTTGTCCTTCAGAGTGCTATCGAAGATCTTCCCCAAGCTCTTCACAGGCTTCTCTGACACTGTCGGAATTGGGACTCCATCCACGCAGAAGCGGTATTTGTCCTCCACTTTCCCCTTCCTCAGGACAAGGGATCTGGACTTGGCTGGCTTAAATATCATCCTTGCCCATGCCATGATCCTTTCCAGACCACGGAGGAGCCACCGGCATCCAGTCACTGATGTTGATGTGACAGTCAGGTCATCCATGTAGGCCCTAATTGGTGGTTGGCGAATGCCAGATCTGGACAAGGGGCCCCTACATTCCACTTCTGCAGCCTTGACCAGCATGTTCATAGATAGGGCAAACAACACCACTGACATGGTGCAACCAGTGATAATGCCCTTCTCTAGGCGGTGCCATGCAGATGTTGTTGTTCCAGTGGTGAATCTCAAACTGAAACCACTGTAGTAGTCCCGTATGAGTTCAGTGATCTTCTCAGGAACGTGGTATGTTGTCAGAGCTTTTGACACAAGCTTGTGTGGAATAGATCCGTAAGCATTTGCCAAGTCAAGCCAAAGGACTGCAAGGTCTCCTCGGTTTTCTCTCGCCTCCCGTATCAGCTGGGTGATCACTCCTGTATGTTCCAGACAGCCCGGCATGCCTTGAACTCCGCCCTTCTGCACAGAGGTGTCAATGTAGGAATTTCTCAGGAGATACTCAGATAACCTGTTAGCAAGAATCTTAAAGAAGATTTTGCCTTCCACACTGAGTAGGGAGATGGTGCGGAACTGTGTGATGTCACTCGCATTCTCCTCCTTTGGTATCCAAACACCCTCTGAGTGACGCCATTGCTGGGCCACCTTCCCCCTCCTCCATACTACCCTAATAAGTCTCCAGAGCCTCTCCAGGAGTCTCGGGCAATGTTTGTAGACTTTGTAGGGCACTCCACTTGGACCTGGGGCTGCACTAGTACGTGCAGCTCGTACGATGTTCCTGACCTCTGCCAGGGTGGGTTCCTTAATGTTAAACTGGACAGATGGTATCGGAGGTGTGGGTAGCTCTCTGCAGGTAGGCAGTTCCTCCTCTCTCCTGCTGTCGCTGTATGTGGCACTAAGGCTCTGGTTGATCTCATTCTCTGAGCATTGTAGGGTCCCACTCCTTGTCTGCCCCAAAAGCCGCTTCGTAAATCCAAATGGATTTGCAACAAAGGCTGTTCGCTTACGAGCCCTCTCTCTGCCTCTCCGCCTGTGCCACTCAGCCCGACGCAGAGATATAAGTCTCTGCCTCAGGATGCCACGGAGTTCTCTCAGGGCTGGTCTTTCCTCCTCACCCGCCTTCTTATACTGGCGATTCAGGGCTTTGAGCTCTTTCCTGAGCTGGGAGATCTTGGTCTCATGCCGGTTTGGCCTAGCAAAGTTCTGAGTCTTTGGTAATTTTATGCCAAATCTCTCTGCACTGATGCTGATGATTAGTGTGCTCATCAACTGGAGTCTCTGATCATTATGAAAATTAATCTGTGCTTAACTTCCACTCTGTGCTAAAAAGACAACCTCTCCACTGCGGTTCAGCTGGAGATGGAAAGCTTCAGTTCTGAAATAGCAGACCACGCACAGCAATACAGAGAAAACACCACAGTAATTTAATGATTAACCTTCATAGCATAATTAGCCTGGCCCACACAAGACTGTTACATTTGGGCCACATACTCATTAGAATCAGTCTTTTTGTGGCCCAGATCTGATTTGCCAGAGGTGGACCAAACATCTGCCAGCATCTGTGGACCAAACATCTGCCAGCTTTGGACCCGCTGATGGACCTGTACTGGGCAAAAACCTTTTTCAGCACTGGAACAAGTTTTTAGCTTGATTCCACCTTGATAAAGAAATAGCTAAATAATTTTACCTTGAATTGTATATAATTAAATAACAGTAGGTTGAAACTTTCTTCTACATGTTATCCTTATGTAGGCGCGTTCAGGAGTGCAGAGATGAAAAGCATTGCAACAAGCATGCTTCTATCAATGCGACAGGAACGATTATGGTGAATGCAACAGAGAAACAGCGACACAAAAATTTTGGGCCATACACCATGATAATATTGTCTTGACAATAAGGTCCTATGTGCTTGTTTCATCTTAACATGTTTACTGTTGTTTCATCTTAACATGTTTACTGCTGTTTCATCTTAACATGTTCACTGGGGTAGAGGTGGTGGTTTGGCTCCACAGTGCTGCTCTCCTTTTAAAGTTTCTGCAACCCTCCCCACTTCACTCTAAAAGACAGAGGTGTGCCTTGGCACCCCAAGGTGTTTTTTAGGACAAAAACACAACACCACACAGGATCTTTCTGTCTTTAATGAAGTTGCCCAGGGGTTCACTTTGGAAAAGGAAGCCATCATGGAAAACCAGGCCCAAGGTCTAGATCTCCAAGATGACCAAAGATAAGACATGATGGTTGACCTATCAGAACCAACTTAGTGCAAAATAGCAGATCTGGACTGGAGCCTGGAGCCTCCTAGAGAAGCTCTTTCCTTGAAGTCTACCTGGCTGGAACAAAGGAACCTCTAAAATGTGTGGCCTACTGCTATGCTGGAATGCTGGAAGAAAACTCAAGCCTTCCTAATGAATTTGCAGGTCTGGCACTATTAGGTACAGATAACGAAGTTGAACGATATGTATTTAATGACTATAGACAAAGCTGATGGACCACATGTTACATTATGTTAATATGTTTGAGCTGTTGCTTATTGAGCTAAAACAAGTTTTATTTCACTAAGGGTTTAAGGGTTCAATTAACAAAAAAAAGGACATTCGTTCCTGATTAAGCAAATGATTTAATAATACATCATTGGCCAAATAATGTTTTGTTCAACTCATGGATTTGAATTGTGAATTTCTTTAAAACATTCCAATTGCTTCAAATTAGTTAAATGCTAATTTGATCATATCCCAAATTCTTTTAGGTAAACCTTGGTTCTCAAACACAACATCCACTGAACTATTATATCATTGCATCATCTCATTGATTAGTGTTTTCAACCATGTTTTTCCTATGTACAAAGAAGAGCTTTTAACTGAAAAATGCTTGACTTGGGGCTGAATAATTTTTTAAAATAAAGTCTTTTATTTTGAATGGAAGCTGTTTCATGATCTTGGCACCTTTAGGCTAGGCTTTTTCCTTGTCGCTCTCCTCGCCATTTCCCTGCCCTTTTCTCAGTAGTTCCCCCTGTTCCTGCTGCTCTTTAAGCCTCTGGTGCCAGATTATTTAAGCTTTTCAGCAAGACTAACTCTAGCGTTCCGTGTATTTAGTTCTGCCAGTTGCTGATCTGTTTTTGCCCTTGGTCTTCTAAGTTTTCAACCGCCCCTGTTTGCTCTGTTTTTCCTGTTCTGTGCTTCTGGACTTCTGGACACATTGAAAATATATGTTAAATTGAACTTCATCTCTGTTGGGGAGCAGCGGGCTGCCATAGTGGGGATCTAGGGAATTCTGTGGGAGTGGGGTTAGACCTCTATTGTGGATTCCAAGCTCCATGGACTAGTAGGCCACCATTCCCTCTCAGCTCGATGACAAAAGCAACTCAACACATGGAACTGATGTGATGCAACTGTTGTTGGACTTGAAAAAAATTTAACTTTTTGTCAAATCATATTCTGAAAGCCAATTAAGAATGGCTGTTGTGAAGTTGGATGAAGGAGCACACTCAAGGTAAAGATTTTTCAATCAAAATGGAATGAAAAAGAAATAATGTTAACTAACAATAATGTAAAGAAACATTTTTAGAGGTTTGTGGTTATCTTTCAAAAAAAAAAATTTTAAATAGCTCCTTGAAGGTCCGTTAAACCATTCAGCATACCTGCTCCTCCCTACCTCCATGGCAGACCCCACTACCTATAGCCTATGCTCCGCTAAGGTGCTGTACAGTATCCCCCCAACGTCTTGCTACGATCTTCTAATGTCCTTTGATCTCCCACAGTTCAACTCCAGAGATGGCCCTGGTCACCCACCATCTCTACGCAGCTGAGGTTCTCCCTCTGCATGGCTTCTTGCTCTCATATCAATTACTAAATCCAGAAAATTCAATCCACTGTGTTCTGGTAAAACCTGCAAACAACAGGTAGAAGCCTCTTTGATTCTTTGATGCAGGGAAGCTACAGGAGAGCAGCTTGTTGAATGCTGTGACAATGCATTCATGACAAGAGATAATTTAAGGCAATATAAATAATGAAACCATAGAGCTAAGCATGTATAGGCTGGTTCGCACAGAGAAAAAATCTAAATTTTTGCAAAAAAGAAAATACTAAATTCTTTAGTTGAACTGTTCAGCCCTTCAATGGAGAAGAGTGAATCATGGATAAATTATGTTTTACACTAAAGTATATAGACTAAATTTGACTCCGAGAACTTATTATGGATGACTTAGTTTAATGCAGGTCAAGTTAGAGTTGGGGAATTGTTGAGAGCTGCTTTTCTGGTGATATTTACTGACCTCCAGAAGGTGTGCTTTTAAAGGGGGGGACATTTATCTTAGCAGTAGTTGAAGATTCCCAGGAGACTAGTAGACAAATCTTGTGTAGATGAGAGAGGTTTCTACGACACTACTGTAGGAAGGATTCCAGAGAGTAGAGACACAAGCTACATAAACACATTTCTATGTGACTTTTTAGCTCAAAAATTAGGAAGCAGTCCATATCAAGCTTAAGCATGGGTGGAGAACAAGTTAACCCCTAAGTAGGTTACTCTAGGACACAAAGAAATAGAAGAGTAACCTTTTCCCATAGGAAGATAAAAAACTTGGAGAGCTTGAGACCTATGCCTATTGAAAGACAACCTGGCAATGTTTGACAGTCAAGTTTGTCTCACAGTCAGGTCAGTCTAGACCAGGGGTCTGCAACCTGCAGCTCCAGAGCCACATGTGTCTCCTTGGACCCTCTCCAGCAGCTCTTAATAGTGGCTAAAATATACTGTATATATTTTTATAAGATGAAAATTAAGAAGATTAAGATTTAATTCATTTGGAAAGAATGTGTTTAAATATAATTTTAAAGTCGTAAGGAAACGGATGTTCCAACTGTTGCATTTCCGAATTCTCCCGAGTGGTGCCCAACTTTACAGAGTGAACAAAGTAAATGTGATTGGTTGATTATCAAACGGGCGGGATTGTTGTGGCAGAAGGTTTGCAAGCAGTTTGGTTGTGGCCGGTGTCTCAGAAATATCTTGCTAACCAGTTAACAACTTAGTGCTAGTAGGTTCTGAATGGAAAATTACATTGGGACCAAGTAGCACTTAGTCACAACACTGTCAAGGAACGCTATGGACAGCGGAAACATGCAAGAGGAGGAGAGCTTTGTGGTGGAGGTCGTGGATGAGTCTCCTCTGTCATACATTTTTTATTTAGAGGAGGAAAGCGGGTATGAAGATGTTGTGGAGGAGGACGCCAGGGCGAAAGAAGCTGGTTTGGTGTAGAAGGCTGACAGTCGTACATGTTTGAGCCCTTGCCTTGCAGCACTACCAGTTCTGTTAGCTCTATGCCTTCCAAAAACACAGACGTCCATCCCCGTGAACATAACTCAATGGTAAAGTAAATGATTCTCATTTCTTATTTTAACTGTTGCATATATTAGCTGCAACATATGAATCAAGATGCTATGACCCAAAAAATTTGATGACGTTGATATATGACTGGCCAAATTTAGGCGTACACGCTGACATATAACTAACTGGCCTGCATAAGATAACGGAAAAAGACAGGGTTTTTTTTAAATAGAAATTTTCTAACTTTTGGGACAATATGGTCTGATAAAGAGTACATTTATATACAAGTTTAAGCCAGAATTATTTGAAATTTAAATATGACTTCCCTATGACTTTAAAGGCTAAAAATACATAAATCGTTGATAGTTTAATATGGCAATAATTTCCTATACGAGATTTTAAAAAAAGGTTGTTTTATTGGAAAAAGTCATGTTATATTTTGCGGCTCTAAACAACTTGTAATGGCTCTTTGGATATGAAAGGTTGCAGACCCCTGGTCTAGACAGTCTAGAAAATAGGTGTTCTTAATAAAACAATATCAAAGCAAGTATTTCAATGAGCATTACTGGCTTCATATTATTAATTTCAATTCAATTCAATTCAGTTTATTAATATAGCGCCAATTCACAACACATGTCATCTCAAGGCACTTTACAGTTCACCAGATCATACAGTCAAACTGATTCAAAGTCTTCTATCTAAGGAAAACCGGTTGATTGCATCGACTCATTGACTCGAAAACAATCCCTCACACTAAGCATGCTTGTAGCAACAGTGGAGAGGAAAAACTCCCTTTTAACAGGAAGTAACCTCCAGCATAACCAGGCTCAGTGTGAGCGGCCATCTGCCGAGGCCGACTGTGGTTCAAGTAGACAGAAGCAGGGATACAAAAGACAACTTTAAAAGGCGGCCCCGTCCAGGAAACACACAGCCAGGCAGACAAGCTCAGAGCCAGCTCCCAT